TTTTTTTTTTACACTTATTCGACTTCATTTGACGTACAATTTAGCATTTCTAAACTACCTCAAGTTGTACTTCTCCGCCATACTCAATAAAATACAACACCGTTAACCGTTTGGTTCCAAGAATTGACGCCGATCATTATTTTTGTTTCATTTTGAAATGATATAGACAAACAGACTCAAAAACTTATATTTTCGAAGTATATACAAACTATTTATTCAAATAAACATTAATATACATTAAAACAACAAAAAAAAAAAAAAAAAATTAAAAAACCCGCAAACCCGCCGGGCCCGACCCGGAACCGGTTCGACCCGCCGGGTTTGCGACCCGGCGGTTAAGGGCCGGTTCAGTGAACCGGCCCTTGGTTACAAGCGGGCCGGGCCCGGTTCAGCCCACGGTGAACCGCCGACCCGGCCCGGCAAATGGACACGTCTACCTGGGCCAAATACGAGCACAGTGCCCTAAATATCTTTTTAAAATAAAAAATTTTAATATTGACCATCCCACAATTATTTTCTAAAAATTATAATTTTTTTTAAATATATCAAATGTCACAACTCATTAAAAAATAAAAAAACAAGATATTAAATTTGTTTTAATCAAGGTAATGATATCTTTCACCTTTCAAAATGAAATCTAAATAATATTAAATATAGCTTAATATTTATTAATCAAAATTTATATGAAACCTCAATTCTAATAAGTCTAAATAATATTAAATATAGCTTAATATTTATTAATCAAAATTTATATGAAACCTCAATTCTAAGAAGTGACCTAAATGATTACATAAGATATAAATACTGCACAATCAATAAATAAAATTAATAGTAATTATAGGAAGATATTGTAATATATCTAGTGAAGTGAAAAATAAGAGATAAAGAAGTTATCTAATTATATAAGAGAGTATAGAAAAACAAATGTAATCATAGTGCCTAAAAGCATAGCCGCACTAAAACTCGAACATGAACCTGCCCTTTTTTTTTTTGAATCAACAGTCCAAGTAATAATCTTCACAGAAGCTGCCGATTATTTCACGACTTCGATCCGGTAAATTCCACCTCAGATTTTGAAATCTTAAATTCAACAACACATACATCTAAGATAAATCAATGAAACCTCCACACAAAAAAAAGGAAAATTAAAACTTACGAAACCCTAAATCAGTAAATCACACCTTTCGGTCTAGCATCCCCACGCGCCCGGCGAGTTAGGTCCTGAGCTTCAAGGCGCCCAGTGGCGCCGGCGGCAGAAGATCCTCTTCACTGAGGATGCGGATTTTGGAACCCCACCCCCGGAGATGATGATGGACGCAGGAGATGATTTTTCTTCGACTGTCGAAAACAAAAGGGGGAATTAGGGGGCGATTGGATATAGTTTGAACAGTAAAAAAACTAATCAAAATTCAAATTTAACTCAACTTTAACTCAACCCCACTATCTTCAATATTATCAATATAATTAAATAATATCAAACAATTATTTTTACACATCACATCAATTTTAATTCACTATTCATCACTCACATAATTTTAACTAACTATCATTTCCAATCATTTTTCTCTTACTTTACATCAAATCAACTTTAATTATTATTTTTAAATATTATTTAATATATCCACTAACAACTAACCATACCACCTTTTTCTAAAATTAACTATAGTTAAAAAACAAACCAAATAAAAACTAGTTGAATCCATAAACAATCACACCCTTAGTCATTCTAAATTCCTAATACCTTATATGATTTTGCTGCTTCTTTATTCATTTTATTATTGCTCAATGGATTAAGATTTGTAAAAGAGGAATGAAAAGATTTATATTCATCAAGTGGGCTATATAATGAGATTTAGAGACGTGCAGGTAATTTTCTCACACATATATGCAGAGTATATAATCATATGGGCTGGTGGTGCCCCTCCAACGAAATGGGCTCTGGGCCGTGGCCCAGGTCGTCCTGCCCCAAGACCGGCTCTGTCAGCTTGTTAAGTAGCAAAAGTTTGAACTTAGATCGGCTCATTTAGAGCTCTAAAGATCGTTGTGTTTATTAAAATTTATTGACTTAACCATTATTCTACTTTATTGTAAGTTTATTTATGATGAAAAAGATTGTTTCACTTGTTTCAATGGTCATACGAATACGAAGACAAAATACCAAATATTGCATATCAATTGTGTAATATTGTGTGTTAATATATTTATAAAGCATCCAACATCTCACTCAACTATTCTATATTATAATTTAACGCCTTAATTTTTATTCCAGTAAAAATGAAACACAATAGTTATTAGTATAAAATATGCTCCTTTGTCCACGTCAACAACGTTTGCGATACGATGGCTACATTTTCTCAGGCTAAAATTTCGTGGAAATCTCGTAGAGCCACTATTAAAAAAATAAAAAATAAAAAATCTCATATAGNCTGGAAAACAATATATTGAGACACGTCATTGCATTTAGCAGACTGCACCATGTAGAATTAAATTAAATTAGATTAGATAGATTACTTTATAATAATGCTCGAGCCATTGCCTAACCAAGCTACCTTCTCTCTCTATACAGAGGAACTCTTCAGTTCGAGGAAGAACACAAACAACAAGAAAAAAAGGTAGTTACTAGCCATGGCCGTTTGTTCTGCTTCTGTTTGTCCGGTGACGACGGGGAACTTCCGCTACACGCCGGGCAGCCGCCGCGTGTCTGCTCGTCGGAGATTCGCAGTCCGGTCAGATTTGTCGACCAATGTCTCCGACATGAGAGTCAACGGCAAGTCTTAGGATTTATCGACTTATTCCCGCTTAAATTCGATTGTTTTCTGTTTGAATTGATCCCAGAAATTTGAATTTCATTTATGTGGTGTTTATATAATTTTGATTTGTCGAGTGAAGAAAAAAGGGTTGTTAACAGCTGTTTGTGCTGATTTGCAGCTCCCAGGGGCTTATACCCTCCGGAACCAGAAATTTATCGAGGCCCCAAGCTAAAAGTAGCCATAATTGGAGCTGGGCTTGCCGGCATGTCCACTGCCGTTGAGCTTCTAGATCAAGGGCATGAGGTATAAAATTCAATCTTGACTGCGCGCTTGTGAGTGTGTTTTCTGGAGAGTAATTTGTAAATATGTGAAGAATATTGTGTTCTTGTTTGTCGTGGTAGATCGGTCTGTATGAAAATCGGAACATGTTGATCTTTGCAGGTGGACATTTACGAGTCGAGGCCTATTATTGGTGGTAAAGTGGGTTCTTTTATGGACAAAAGGGGAAACCACATTGAGATGGGACTCCATGTTTTCTTTGGTTGCTATAATAACCTCTTTCGCTTGCTGAAAAAGGTATAAGTGTCAAACGTGTTCTTCTACGCACGAGTGATTTAGCTTTGCAGGCATTACCAAACCCAATTGTTGAATATCTCTTGTATATTGTTGCTCCTTGGACATTGAGTTGGTCGGCTTTTGTATTAAGTGGAAAGTGATATTTGATTTTTGATTTTTGATTCGGTGTTTACATATTGTAGGTTGGTGCTGATAAAAATCTGTTAGTGAAGGATCATACTCACAGTTTCATCAATAAAGGAGGTCAACTAGGGGGTATGGTTTGTACAACTCTCATGGATCATTATTGTTTATCTTGGCTTGTAGTTTGAAAAGATTTTTTCAGAGTAATCTAAGTTCATTCTAACTGCAGAACTTGATTTTCGCCTCCCAATCGGAGCTCCAATACATGGGATTCATGCATTTTTAACGACAAGTCAGCTCAAGGTACTCACTTTTTCATGCCTGATTCAACTGTATATATTTGCTCTGATCTATCACAGAGGTCCTACTTTTCTATAAGAGATCATTTATATGCAAATCAGACAACAGAAATTAACAATCAACTGTTTGCGTTCTGTGTTCTTGTTAAAATCAACAATTCACTGTCCCGATTCCGGTTTACTATCTTGACATTTTCCTGGACTCAATTATTTTCTCTAATTATGTACTTCCACATTTGATTCTACCAACATTGACAAAAGCATTATGAATGCCACTTAAAAGATAGAACTGATGAGTTCTTCACCTAGCTGCAATTTCTCGAAATATATCACAGTTATCGCTTATATGAGTTTTTCTCTTGGATGACTTAAAGTTTAACCAAAATATAGTTTTATTCTGTAGTCTTTTAAACAAAAGTATTGCACACTTTTTAGTTATGCTGTCGACTGTAGAGAGTTATTTCGTAATTTGTTGGCACTTCATACATGTCCTCAAAATAGATAGTCTTATTTATGATGTTCATCTAAAGTGTTATTTTCCACTGATGTACAGACTTATGACGTAGCAAGAAATGCTTTGGCTCTCGCTCTTAGTCCTGTTGTAAGGGCGATTATTGATCCAGATGGCGCCATGAGAGATGTGCGGAATCTAGATAATGTGGGTTGCAGTTGCTTATTACTTTATCCCTTTCTTTTTTATATTATCCTCTTCCCTGTAAGAGCATGTTCTTGAAATAGAACTGTTGTAATTTATTATTTGTTTTTAAGAACTAAACTCTTACTATTAATTTGGCTAACAGGTAAGCTTCTCTGACTGGTTCTTGTCCAGAGGTGGGACCCGCACGAGCATTCAGAGGATGTGGGACCCTGTTGCTTATGCCTTAGGGTTCATCGACTGTGACAACATTAGTGCTCGTTGTATGCTTACTATATTTACACTTTTCGCCACAAAAACCGAGGCTTCTCTTCTACGCATGCTTAAGGGCTCTCCAGATGTTTATTTGAGTGGTCCCATAAAAAAATATATCATGGATAGGGGAGGCAGGTAAAAATATCCGTGCGCGTGTGTTTTACTTCTGTCTGTGTATGGTATGAAATAAATTTGCTTTGTATGTATTGTTACAGGTTCCATTTAAGGTGGGGTTGCAGAGAAATTTTATATGATAAATCTTCTGATGGAGAAGTGTACGTAACCGGGCTTGCAATGTCCAAGGTACAATGCTTCTCAACATATATGTTCTAACTGATCATTAAGAGGGCTCCAAATATCGGTTTTACTCCCCACAGTATTGCATGAATGCTCAATACTAACCAGTTTTTAAAATATTTGTTACAATATATATATACTAACCACTAACCAGTCACTGTGAACTAGTAGTTCTGAGTAATAGTGTGATAATTGAATTGCAATTACAGGCTTACCGTTAGACGTGTGTCTATTTGTTACAACACAATGACTAATGGCTTTACTCTTTTGTTTTCAGGCTACTCAAAGGAAGACGGTAACTGCCGATGCATATGTAGCAGGTTTTTGTCTAAACCATAACTAATTTGAACTTCTAATCCAACATTCTGAATAAAATTAAATGAAAAATTGCAGCTTGCGATGTTCCCGGTATTAAAAGATTGCTTCCACGGAAATGGAGGGAGTTTGAATTCTTTGATAAAATTCATGGATTAGTTGGTGTCCCAGTTGTCACGGTTCAGTTGCGGTATAATGGCTGGGTTACTGAGTTAAAGGACTTGGAAAATGCACGGTGAGTATAGGTTCTACCATTTTTTTTTCTTAAAAAAAAAAAGGTCTTTTCTGATTGCTTCAATTTTTTGAGTTCATTTGATTCTTGATTGGTCGTGTTATAATTCGCCTAATACTGTTGTGTATCAGGCAATTAAAGCGAGCAACGGGTTTGGATAATCTGCTTTACACTCCAGATGCAGATTTCTCTTGCTTTGCAGACCTTGCACTCACATCACCCGAAGATTATTACCTTGAGGGCCAAGGCTCATTGCTTCAGTAAGAATTTTTGTTTTTTGTGTTTTATTTCACTCAATGTTTTTGTTCATATAGGAATTCATTCAAATTTCAACAACAAGAGAAGAAAAAAATAAAAGAAAAAAAGAAAGAAATAAAGAAAAGATAAGAACAAAAAACAGTTATAACCGTATAGTGAAATAACATACTAATCCAAGAAATTTATTTAACCGAGACCTTTTTGTTCGATGATCTTCATCAGATGTGTGCTAACTCCCGGGGACCCGTACATGCCTTTACCAAATGATGAGATAGTGAAGCGAGTTTCGAAGCAGGTAAGGCTTACTGGGCCATTTATCAAAACTCTTTAAAGAAACTTCCGGAGTCCGTGAGTCGAATTTTCTGAGCAAGAATACCACAAGAAAGATAATAGGAAAAAAGGGGGGAAAAAGGACAAAGAATCAATAGTTCCCGTTAAATATACTGTTTGCTAATGATGAAGTTAAATGAGAACAAAGAATTACCTCCTAAAGCTCTTTGAATGAACATTTTTTTTTCCAGGTTGTGGATCTCTTTCCATCCTCCCGAGATTTGACAGTTACATGGTCATCAGTTGTCAAAATCGGACAATCTTTGTACCGCGAAGGGCCCGGTAAAGACCCGTTGAGGCCCGATCAGAAGACACCTGTCAAAAACTTCTTCCTTGCTGGCTCTTATACAAAACAGGTACACATAAATGAAGAAACTAAAAGATGCACAAACCACTTTTCTACTATGTCATAATCTCACACAAGTGTTCGACGACTTTTTTTTAATTTTTTTTTTTTTTTTGGTTTTAAATAATTCAGGATTATATAGACAGTATGGAAGGAGCTACTCTGTCTGGCAGGCATGCTTCTGCTTATATATGTGATGCAGGAGAAGATTTGGCTGCCTTACGCGAAGATCGTGCAATATTTTTGCCGTCTGATCAACTTACACTCGTCCAATAATTGTCTAACTAGGCAAAAACTAAAGAACTATGTCGATATAGCACCAAATTTGATACATAGCTCATCAGGTAAAAACTTGAAAAATGCAATTGTGGTTAATTATACTTCCCCTCGATGAAATCTTGAAAATATATCGATCTATGAAGTGTAGACACTGTCAGGTTTTTTACGTGATTGGTTAAAGAGGAACTTCAAGAACCGGCCTTTGAACAATGTTTTCTACATTTTTAACATCGGTTGATAGAGTTAGTGTTTCGTTTGTGATTATGCTCGATTAAGGGAGAAAAAATGTGGGGACTTTCAAAGGTATAAGATGATTTACGATGTTTCCTTTTGTGTGCATTCGAATGTGAAAGTAAGCATGATAGTTAATAGAAATGAAAAAAGACAAAAAATAAAATATATATATATGAAAAAAAAAAAATGGATTGAATATGCACAATAGCTAATGGATTTTACAAAACCACAGCCTAAACACAGTCAATTTTCTTTTGTTGGTGATATCATTTGTTTTGGCACACGTTTAATTAAGATATGTATGTAGTAATTTCCAATTCAGCTCGATGTCATGTACTTCGTACTATAAAATATGTGTCTGAAATTTTGAAAAATCCTTCATTTGAACAAAACATTTTCCTTTATCCCTTTATTTGGTGATATACGAATTGGGGCATTTGAATATGCTTGGATATTCCTTTGTATAGGGGTGTGTGGTCTTTCCAAGTTTCACTGAAGAATATTCTTTCCACATCAAATTTATTTTGTCTGGACTATGTATATGAATTGTAAAATGAAGATGAATCGCAAAGAAAAAGAAAAGGTAAAATTCTGGAATCATCCAACTATACTTGTTTAATTACCCTGTTTTGTTGCAAATTTTTTAAGTGGAGAGTATGAAGATTAACAAATATAAGATCTCCAATTTGTCCTCGCTAATTAGTTATTTTGTCTCTTTTCTTTCATTTTATTATATATCATTTATTTTTATTTTTATTATCACTCGTCTATTTTCATTCAATGTTTGTTTTGCACATTTAAGTGACAATAGCGATCACAATACGAAATACGATTAGGTTACAATTAATAAATAAGAAAAATGCTACAATCCTGACTATTCTGTTGGGATTTTTAACCGTTAGATATACAGATTAGTGTAGCATGTACATCTAACGAATAAATTTCCCAACGAAATAGTTTTGTAACGAGACTAATAAATATTACTATTGTAACAAATGATATGATAAACACGGTATTACATATAAGGGATTTGGCCCTACCCCAACCCGCATTGTTTCTAAACGGGTCAGGTGAAGTTCGCTCCCTTTAGTAAATACGGCAGATCCGAGTGCCAAACCCTGACCCAACCCTCCATGCCCTTATATTTATTAGATTATAATAAATATATAAAATTTGTATATATTTTTGTCTATATTTAGGAATTACAATTTTACAACTATAAAATTATATATAAATTATTGATATATATTTTTAAAAATGTTGGGTTGGGTCGCTGGCCCAACCCAAGACTGGACGGATCACTGCCCACCCTACCAGGGTGGAAAGGAAGGCCAAGTTCGAATTGAGAATTATCCGGCTCACGCTAAAA